GCGGCCGCACCTCCAGGATGTCGGCGTTGGTGCGGCTCTCGTGCGGCTCGCTGTACTCGGTGTACTTGAGCAGCACGCGGTCCATGTCGGTGCTGGCGTACTGGAAGAGGCGGTTGGCGCTGTTGAAGATGATCAGGGCGATCTCGCAGTCGCACAGCACGCTCAGCTCATAAGCTTTCTTCATCAGCCCGAACTTCCGCTTGGTGAAGGTCACCTGGACGGGAGAGCCACCGGGGCACAGTGAGAAAGGACGAGGATGTGGGGCGGTGCGGGGACGCAGAGGGGCCTGGCAGCTCCATGATCGTGCTCCCCAACTCTGCCTCAGATGTGCTGTTTTTTCTGGGGCACTAGTGTAGGTCATTCTCAAACTCCTATTCATCCTTCAAAACCCAACCCGAATGACCCCTCCCCTTTGGGAAGTTTCCCTTGGCCTCCCAAGCAGAGCCTGCACTTTTCTCTCAGGGCTTCCCCAGCTCTAGCCTCTCCCAGCCCAGCCATCTAAGTGGGGTGCGTCAAGGTCAAACTCCCTCTCTTCTACAGCTGGGGCCCCGGTCCTCAGGGAGAAGAGTGAGTGATCATGGACATTAACAAAAGCTCGCTCCCAGAGGGGCACCGAGGCTCCCTCAGCTGCTCCTGCCCACAGCCCACTCTCACCTGCCGGTTCCTCTGGTCCAGGATGCGCGAGATCTGGATTTTCTTCCTCCCCATGGTCCCGCCTGGTGAGACCAGGATCTGGGGACAGAGCAGAGAGCAGAGTGGGCAGGAGGGTCGACACTGGCACTCAGCAAACTCTTACAGGTTGGCCACACTGCAAGCGGGGCGCCCACATTTGCCCTTTGGGCCTCAGTTTCCCCATCTGAGTAGGGGGTTGGCAGACCCAAGGGAGGCATTCAGACGTGCTGGGCCCTGGGCAGGAAAAATGTGTGGGTAGCAGCCCCGTCCATAGGAAAAGAAACAAATTCTTTTTGGGTGGGGTTTGAGACAGGGTCTCACTACGTAGTGACACTGACCTGGAACTCACTGTGTAGCCCGGGCTGGTCTCCAACTCACAGCGACCCTCCTGCCTCAGCCTCCCGAGTGCTGGGATGACAGGCGTGCGCCATCACGCCCAGCGTGCCCATTTTTAATTATCTGAATTTTCTCACTTTCCCCTCGGTGACCGTAGATCAGTCTTGTTTAAAAGCCAAACCCAGGCCCCCACCCGCTAAGCAGGCACACAACACAGACTGCGCCAGGCCCTGGACAAGTGCCAGGAGGCTACCGGGACACCACAGGGGCCTTGGGTTGTCCCCTCAGGTGGAGACCTGGGTCTAGGGGTTGCAGAGAGGGCGGCCGGCGGCCACCAGAGACATAGCCAGGCCGGGTGGGACACAGAGCGGAGTCTGTCACCTGCAGGGAGCCACACTGCCCGCCCGCCAGACACAGCCACACGTGGTCCCCCGGGCCCAAGGGGACAGCCCCTCCGCCTGGCGCATGACTATGCTGCAGACACAGGTGTCAGCCTTCAGCTGAGCCGCCCTCCCAGGCCTCAGTTTACCACAGATCCTGCCGAGCACTTGCCACTGGGCCTCACAACAAGCTCCTAGGAAATTCAGAGCTTGGCACACCTGTGATCCCAAGTATTCAGGAGGCTGAGGCAGGAGGATCACACAGCGCAGCCCAACCTGGGCAACTTCGCAAGATCCTGTCCCAAACAAAAGAAGAAAAATGTCTGGGGATGGAGCTCAGTGTGAAGGCCCTGGGTCCCAGCCCTAGTACCACAAAAATAACTAATATAATGATAATAAAATCAGATCCTAGCCAGGTGCAGGGATAGGCACCTATAGTCCCAGCTGCTTAAGAGGCTGAGGCAGGAGGATCCCTTGAGCCCAGGAATTCGAGGACAGTCTGAGGGGCATGCAAGATACCGAGACCCCAGGGCCGGGGATTTAGCTCAGTGGTTCCGCCACCTGCCTCAAATGTGCAAGATCCCGAGATTGATCCCTGATACCCACCTCTCCCCCAAAAGATACCGAGACCCCATCTCAGAAGGAAATGAAAGAAACGCGGACCCTGTGGGAGGGGGCTGGGGGGCGGGGCCCGGATGTGCCCTAGGGCTGGGTCCCCTTGGCCCTGTTGCTTGCTAAATTTAACCTCTGGGCTAATTTTACTCCCAGCTGGAGTCAGTCCGGTTCCCATGGCTGGGAAGTGCCGTCCCCACCCCACAGGTCCCTGGAGGGTCCCAGGCCAAGCCGAACTACTTGCTGGGCATGTGGCGTATGTCTGTGATCCTTGCACTCAGAAGGATGAGGCAGGAGCATCTCCAGTTCAAGGCCAGTCTGGACTACTTAGTGAGGATCCCCCGCCCCCGACTCCACATACAAACGAAGAAGGCCCGGGGTGCAGCTCAGTGCAAAGGCCCTGGTTCAGTCTCAGCCTGAGCCAGGAAGTTGGGTTCTCCATGCTGAACCCCGAGTGGAGTCAGAATATGAGATCCAGGCAGGGGCAGCAGCACAAGGGCCCAGAGGAGGTGGTGGGGGAGGAACAGCTGTGCTGCTCCAGGCCCTCACTGTAGGCAGGGTGTGGGTTTCAGTCTTGCGTAAAACGGGACCAAGTCTGATTTCTTCTTGTATTTTATTGAGACTGGGCCACTGTATTCCCGAGGAAACCCTCCTGCCTCAGCCTCCTGACTCGCAGAAGCTGGGATGACAGGGGTGTGATTTATCATCTACTTTAAGGATTTTTTTACACTGAGTGACATCCCCAGCCCTGTGTTTAATATTTTATTCTGAGATAGGGTCTCATCATGTCACTAAGTTGCTCCAGTTGGGCTGCAACATGTGATCCTCCTGCCTCAGCCTCCCAAGAGCCGAGGTCACGGGTGTACACCACCGGGCGAGGCTGGTTTATCACCTTCAACCCCAGCCCCTGGCCGTCATGGGGAGCAGGACATTGGAGACCACTGGAGCCTTGCAGAGCTTGGCCCCCCAGAGCTGGCCTGTGCCCCGATCTGAGTCACTGCCCGCAGGGCCCCTGGGATCTCCTGCCGTCTGTGGCCAGGCCCGGTGGGTGTAGACAGTGGCTCTCCTGCCTGCCGTGGCCGTCATACAGGCTGCAGCCCCCTGAGAGTTCTACCCCACACTTGGCTCTGATGTGGTCCACAGCACCCACTATCCTCAGGAGAGTCCCAGCCTCCGGAATGACATCAGCTTCTGCCCACCTCCCCCTCTGTTCAACAACTATTTCCCCCCAGAAAGCCCTTCTCCGCCTTGCCAACTCCTATTCACACTTCAAAACCCAACTCAAAAAAACCCATTTCTCCAGGAAGCCCTCCCTGCCAGCCTTATCCTCCCACTTCAGTTCTGACCCCGTGGAACAGGGGATAAGCACACTCTGCTTTGTCTCAGGGGTGGCCGTGATCCCCCACACCCCAGCTTCCCTCAACAACTTCCTCTTAGTCCCCCAGCTGAGAGCCTGCCCAGAATACTCCATGCAAATGCAGCCGCCCAGCACGGGCCGGCTGCCCAGGTGTGAGGGCGCCGTGGGCGCGAGGCGGTGGGCACGGGTGCGAGTATATTTGTCCCCCATGCAAATTGCCCCCGGGCCGCAGACACTGTCAGCCGGGGCCCCAGCTGTGGGTGCTGGGAACCGCTGGGGGCTGCGCAGCACGAGGGGAAGCTGAGGTTGGGGCCTCATCGGCACCCCTCCCCCAGGAGGAGGCTCGGCCGGGCCGGCGGAAGGAGGGCCGAGGTCACCTCGGGGACCAGGAGGCCAGCAGCCCACGGAGAGGCTGAACCTCCGCGCCTGCCTTCTGATCCTCTGTGCTGAGTGCCGGCCCGAGTGCGTAGAGAGGGCAGGGAACCAGCACCAAGAGTCAAGCAGGGACCAGAAGCGGGACTGGAGGCTGAGGCAGGAGGGTCCCGAGTTCCAGCCCAGCCTCAGCAACTTAGCGAGACCCTTCTCAAAATAAAAGGTAGCAAGGGCTGGATGAGAAACTCAGTGTGAAGGCTCTGGGTTCCATACCCAGTCCGGGCCTTGGGAGCACCGAGGGCCGAGACGCGACACATCCAGCTTGGGCAGAGTGGTCCCGCTCTCCTGCAACCACATCTGCATCTTTCTTAGCGCAATCGCCTTTAACCAAAGGTATTTATTTACTTATTGGTGCTTTGAGACCGGGTCTCGCTATGCAGTTCAGGCTGGCCTCTCAAGGCCACTCTGTAGCCCAAGCTGGCCTCCAACTTGTGGCGGTCCTCCTGCCTCAGCCTCCCAGTGCTGGGATGACAGGCACGTGCCCCCACAACAGCCTCAAGCCGAAGGTGTTTTAAGGCTGGGTGTGTGGCTCAAAGGTGAGTGTTTCCCATGCCTGAGGCTGCTGTGGGGACCAAGGTCTGTCCAGGCAGGTCAGGCTCGTTTGGTGACACAGCGGCCAGGATGAGCCTGGTCCATGTGCTTGGGTCAAGGGAAGAGCTGAGGGCTCAGGCCCGAGCAGTGTGTGTGTGTGTGTGTGTGTGTGTGTGTGTGTGTGTGTGTGGTGGGGAGCAGCCCGGAAGATCTCAGGAGCCCAGGACTTCATAAGTCCTCTGTAGCAGTATCTGTGGTCACTGGGTCATTCAACAAACACCCAGAGAGGCCCTTCAGGCCAAGGACTGTCACCTCCAGTGCTTGCGGAGGCAGTGGTCCCCCAGCCAGTGGAGATGGCTCCTGTCCGGCCGACTGTCAGCTGAGAGCCAGGGTCTCATCATGCCGCCTCAGGTGACGGGGACACCCTGAGCAGGAGCGGGGCCCCTCGGCGGCTGGGGGGCGCGGTGCGAGGGGACCAGGGACAGAGTCGCCGGAGCCAGAGCGTGAGGGGCAGAAAGCAGAAGTGAGAGGGCAGTGGGTGGCGCGGGCGGCCCGGGGGACAAGGTGACAGGGGAGGGGGGC